TTTTTTTTTTTTTTTGAAATTTGTTTGAAATTTTAAATGATATCATAACTAAATGTGCAGAAGTATGACATATTTTCTAATGCTATACCGCGGCATGCTATTTATATACCTGCGTGTAGAATTCACTTTCTTAAATTACTTCTATCTTGTACCTCGTGTCGTAACGCATGATCCTTTGACTACTGGAATTAGCAGTATAACTATAGGATTCTTTTAACATTTACAATCTCAATAAACGGTTAATCTTATTGTTTAATTTGATAGTTAAAATATGATACATTTATAAAGTCGCGATAATCGGCACCGTCATGTTTACTCCAAAAAACATGTTAGTGACGAATACATAGATACACTCAAACCGTACAGTAAATTGCATTTTGTGATTCGTTCAAAGTTTATCGAAAATATTCAGACGACGAATGGTACAAGTTCTAATATCAATTTTTTTTTTCTTTTGTGAAAATGGTCGTACAACGTGTAGTACTTCAGACAAAATGTAAAAAGGGCAGTTTTTAGAATGAGATTGGGATAAATTTTAAAAATAAATTTTGAATAAAGTTTGCGTTTGTTTTGAAATCCTCCATTAACGAGAATCTAGGATTAGGCATGAGTCTAATTACAGATCGTATCTGCACCAAGACTCAGATAAACACCGACGTTGTCGGTATATACACAATTAAATTATGTTGCTCACTCATTTTTTTTTTCAATTCAGGATGAACTAGTTTTAAAACTGACCAGTAAGTGTAATTATCTTACGGTTACTGATCTTCATCGCCTAGATCTTGCTTTACTTTGTTAAAATCGAACTCTTCTCCAGTGGCTCGTTTAAATATATCCAAAACATCTAAACAAGTGGTTTCAAAATGCGTTGTGGCATCGTAACTTGTCGATATAAAGATCTGACTCTCCAGACCATTGTCTGTGGGTTCCATATAATCAGATACCGATATGAACTTTTGTCTGATCGGACCGAGGAGATCCAAACCGGGTTTAATCTCAGCTTCTGGATTCTTCGTTTCAACCGTAGTAGACACCATGGCAATGAACCATCCTTTTGCTGCTACTTGATGAGTATGCGATACTAAAGATACGTAGATATCGGAATTACGATTAACCTGAAAAGTGAATATAAATAAATTAGCCTCTATATCGTTGTACACTCAAGTGAGAGTGTGAAAGATGGATCTATTTACTTGTTTCTGAGGAATAATGATTTGCGTGGAAAGAGCATCCCCTGTACTTGGTATAGGATGGTCTAAGAGACAAATGCATCTTATCACTTGACCCACTTTTTTCACCTGATCAGGTACATACGTGGGATCACAAAATACTTGTTTGCATTGGGCTACTTCGTCGCCTGAACGTACTCCAACGACCTGCGATGATAAATATCGCAACAATTAATAGTACAATTAATCGTTACATTTTACTTGATTTCTCAAACATTCAAATTCTTACTTTTCCGTCCTTCATCACGATTTCATCGATTGGCTTATCCAACATGTACGTTCCACCATAAATGGCGCTAAGTCGCGCGAAGCCTTGAGGAAGTTCGCCTAAACCGTACATAGGATACAGGTATGGCGATTTTCCGTAACGTGCTAAACTATCGCTATACAATTTAATCCTTCTTATAGTAGTAATTGCGCTTTGGCTAATGTAGTCGTCGTCTCTGAAACAACCCAAATATCATCGTTTTATCAATTAATCGTGAAATCATCGTTATTACGTTCAGAAAAATATAATTAATTTACCTATAAAGGGCTAATGCATGCCCCGTGAAATCTTGAGTGTTTTTATCGAGATTAAACTTAGTGTACAAAGCACTCATGCTACTATTAAACGGGTCGAAGCCGTCCCATGTCTTGCGGTCATCTTCTTGCATATTTTGCACCCATATAAGGAAACTACGGAAGCGCCTTTTCTCGAAAAGG